TGCACCCGAAGCTTTGGATACTTCAGGGAAGATGGCGCAATCGCGCTCATCATCGGACAGGAGGAGGAGCAGACACTCATCATCGTCCTCTGGGCCGCACGTAAGGAAACGCTCAAGACGTGGGAGATCCAGGACTCCGACAGATCGACGACATAGATCAAGACTACCATCATCCAGGAGGAGAAAGGCAGAATCGGAGTCCCCGAAGCGAATGGCTCATCCACAATGGGAGCAACGACGCAATGATTTCCTGAGGAATCTTCAAGCTACGATGGGAGATGGAAGGAGTGGTGAAGACACTGGAGCAACTCACCATGAAGCCAGCGGACAAGGAATCATCGCAGCCTGATGGAAGCACGAAGAGAAGAGAGGTGACACCTGTAGAATCATAGGTGAGGAATCCAGTCACCGCATTGGAGCTCAAATCAATCATGGACAGAACACTGTGAGTAGAACTGCCAAGTACGAAGCAGGTGGAGACTGCACAAGTTTCGAACACACAAGCAGGGACTAGCTGAGTAGGACAGAAGGCAAAAGGCAAAGTGAAGAATTGGTGGTGTGAAAACTCAGTCACGGCATGACTGGAAACTCACTCATGACTGTCAACGACGTGATGATCATAATAATAACAGATAAAGGTGGTCAGGAGAAAACATTGAGATGCATGGAATCTCCATTCACTGAAGCTTGAATCAATATTAGAAAACGAATGAACTAAATAGACATAACTTGAAACTACGATATCAAGGATGTATCACGAACCCCTCCTGAAGTGTACACATAAACTGAAGAACGGAGCAACACTCCAAGCGGGTTATTGAGCTCTCTCTCTCTCTCTCTCTCTCTCTCTCTCTCTCTCTCTCTCTCTCTCTCTCTCTCTCTCAGGACATTGCGTCACTTGAGGAGTGCTGGTTCCGAGAAAACAAAAGTACTGACGATAATTGGCACGCTTCACAGAATGATAGCGAACGCGTTTGATGTCGCAGGTCTAACCGCAGTAAAAAAGCTGTTTTGTAGGGAACTCAGATTGATGGACTACCCATGTAGGATTACCCGCACGACGATTTTTGGGCCTTCATCGGAAACTGCAAGGACATAAAAAGTACGGAATATATTTCGTGAGTATCTAGAAGCAGAAGAAGCACCRAACAGGAACTGATATATAGCAAATCCAAAGAGGAAAGGAAAATTAAATAAAATAAAMTAAATAAAAATCTACAGATATAATGATGCAAGAATGGCCGTATGGATTTCCCAACATAAGCTAGGAAATGAATCGAATCAAAATCCACAAGATGCATATGGGAGAAGCAAGCGACAAGAAAATGAAAATGAAACTACTCAACTGAGAAGATAATGACGAAACCCAACCAAGCCAARACGCAGGTCAGTAATCCACAACRGACATAAACATGGAAAACTGTGACAGAAATGCGTCCATAGGGATAGCTTCCGAATGTRTGAGTACGGAATTCCAGAAAACAGACATTAGMACAGWAGCGGACACAGGGAGGCAACGTTATATACAGCAAATAGACGACAAATGGAATCTACGACGAAAAGTGCAGTACTGAGCAAGACTACGGGAGACACAGAGGAAACGATGATGAGGACGCTGCAGGGCATGTGGACAAGTAGGTGGGGAGGTGAAGGAGAATAGGGTATAAATTCTGCGATAGTGGCTGAAAGGATTACCTGAGCAGTGAGGCAGAAGGGTAGTCGCAGCAAGTGCATTGTCGCATGCCATGGACAGGGCGTGTATACTGTGAAAGTAAAGCCTCGCACGTGTTGTCCTATAGTGCGTATCTCTGTGTGTGTGTGTGTGTGTTTGTGTACCGCGCGTCTACTCGCGCGCCTACGCTTCCACACAATGTAAGGAGGAGAAGAAGAAGCAGAAGCAGAAGAAGAAGAAGAAGAAGAAGAAGAAGAAGAAGAAGAAGAAGAAGAAAACGTACCTGTGCCCTGCTGGCGGGCCGGGGGGGCTGGCTTCGTTGCACGACGATGACGACGACGATGACGACGGGCGACGACTGCCGGGGCGTTGGCTTGTTGACGGGACGGCTGGTGAGTCAGGACGAGGCGGGAAGTCGTAGGCGGGAGGGAACGGCAGCTCCTCCAATTTTCGAAAAGGGAGGCCTCATCTGGGCCGCCGATCTTTCGAGATCAGCGGTCCAGAGAGGCAGCCCTTTTCGAAACTTGGAGGCTGCCCTACCGGACCCGTTTCAATTTTTTTAGGGCCAGGAGGCCCCCACAACCCGCGTGGGGGCCTCCTGGCCCGTAAAAAAAATTGAATCGGCCAGTATTCGCCTATGCGCTATAGCCGACCGGAGGGCAACGGGCCCGGTGGACCGGCCGGTCCCACCGGCCCAGTTCCGGTTGGGGGTGGACCCCCCGGTGGGACCGGGTTTACAGCCCTGATTTGAAATCGAAAGATACTGACAAACAAAAGAATATTGTGCAAGGGTGCCAATCAAAGCACAGGGATATGGAAAGGAAATTGTGAAAAGGAATTCAACATAGGGGGTCATCATGGGGGCACTAGCACAAAGTACCGTCAGCGCTACCTGTCGGCCCTGGAAGCTGCAGGAGCACCCCCGGAATTTCAGGGCTCAACCATCTGGTCGAGATGTTGGGTTATGTGCAATAGAACATGCCCTATGCAGAGTGCGCGACTGACAAAAGAACACACTGTTGCAGAACTCACAAAAGTGAATTATAATAGGCAGTGTTTGCTTTTTTTTTTCCCTTTTTTCCTTTCCTCTTCTTTATCATCATTATACTGACCCGCCCCATGTAATTCCGAATTTTCCGGTCATCTGTTTGTATCTGAATTCGAACTTCGATCTGTATTTCAACAGTAATTGGATTTACCAACTGAGCAGTGTTTGCTTTTGAATTCCTCCCTCCCGCCATCTACTACTCTCCTCTCAGGAGCCGACACTTTCCTCTCACCTCCTGCCATCCACATCCCTCCTCCCTCCTGCAGTCCACCTCCCTCCTCCCTCCCACTTTCCACCTCCCTCCTCGCACCATGTCCCTCCTCACTTGCTCTGTCTACCTCTCTCCTCCATCACTCCATCTCTTTTCTCCATCCCACCATCTACCACCCTTCTCCCCCTCACGCTATCTGCTCCTTTCCTCCCTCATTCCATCTCCCTCTTCCCTCCCGCCTTCTACCTCTCTCCACTATCGCTTCATCTCCCTCCCCCCCTGCGATCTGCCTGCCTTTTCCATTGTGCGATCTCCCTCCTCCTTTCTGTGTCTATCACAACCCATTTGCCGCTACATTCCCTCTTTACCTCTCCCCCACCTCTCCGCCTTCCCAACGCCCCCCTCCCGGCCTTTACTCCGCCTACTCCCATCTCATCCCCAATCTAGTGCTCTCTCTCTCTCTCTCTCTCTCTCTCTCTCTCTACTGAGGTGTGCACAGAAACTGAAACGCAAATGCGTCCTGCAGGAAAGAAACCTAAGTAGCAAATGCCCGTTCACTAAGCGAAAGAGAGCGGGGAATCAGAGCCACGACGATCTGCATAAAAAAGAAACGTGTGACGGAAAAGAAAAAACTGCATGGGCTTTGTTGGAATGGTGAGACGGCCGTTAAAATTGGAAGATTCGGCGAAGATTGGCATGGACCCTGAAATAAAGAGCGGCGGCGCCGGGGCTAAGGGCCTTGCCGCACTGCTCACGAAATGTGCTCCCCGGCATACACCCTTCATACATTTTGTATCTTCCACTCTTGGTTCATACCTTTTGTGTCTTGCACTCTTGGTGAGCGGTGCAGCGAGTCCGTAAGTCCCACAGGCGGTGTTTAGAGGTGGTTTCAAGTACGCAGCGATTCCTGCCATCCGATCTGAACATCTTACAGCCGCACTGCGGCCATGTTCCTAGAAGGAAGACTTGGGGCCTCGCTCCCCTACAAAAAACTCAACATGCATTGGGACGGTTTCTTGACCCAATAGGTTCAAAATTGGACCTATCCAAATGCATCTTGTCCAGAAAGAGTCCAAATGCATATGCAGTATTGGATAGTGGAGTGCGGCCCTCGGTTTTGATTTGAAAAAGGAAAAGGAAAAAACAGCGTAATGCGACGCAGGCTCCAAAGCAGAAAACGAAAAGAAATCAATGCACGCAACAACTGACATCCCACGCCAAAGACCCTGTCGTGGTTGCAGGAAAATCCTCACCCAACCCACGTCGAAGTCCAACGATTGTTGTGAAACTGTTTTCCTGTTTCTTTTTCTTTTCCCTGGACAAAAACAACCTGTCACCCGCGGTCAGAATGTCAGATCTTCGCAAACAAACATTCTCAACAAAATCCACGACATCAGCTAGAAAAGATAAACGGATCCACACAACACTGATGATTTCAGCCTTATAACGTAAAATTTATGCAAAGATCCAACGAATCGACCGCGATCAGTGGCGACGAACCGATCTCCCTTCACATCAAAACCAACCAAGTTGAAAACACCACTGCCAGATCAACCGATCCAAAGGCCACTGACTCACAAGAACTCAATCATGGTGATTATCGCTTACCCCGCGACCCGCAAGTTTTAGAGTTTTCGTAGGATCGCAGTCAAGGCTCTCCATCATGCACATGCATGGCACCCTCCTCTCCAGGGGGAGGAGGGGGGTCAGGGACAAGAGAGAGAGAGAGAGAGAGAGAGAGAGAGAGAGAGAGAGAGAGAGAGAGAGAGAGAGAGAGAGAGAGAGAGAGAGAGAGAGAGTTTNGAGAGAGAGAGAGAGAGAGAGAGAGAGAGAGAGAGAGAGAGAGAGAGAGAGAGAGAGTTTTCCAGGGTAATCCAACAGAGAGTCCTCTTATGTGAATATTATGGAATGGTGATGATTCAAATATCAAAATGGCGAGACAGAAGTAAATTTCCTCGAAGGAATAAACTGCTATCAGATAACTACACCTGACCCAGTTGGTTTCCCTCCTCCTCCTCCTCCTCCTCCTCCTTCCCTCCTCTGCCTCCACCCTCTCCTAGTTCAGTGACTAATCCTTGGCGGTAGAAATAAGAGGAGACGACTCCGAAATATCCTTTAACTCCTTCGCACTGCCATTTCCTCCTCCAAGCTTATTATTTATTCTACACCATTCACATTCGACTCTGAAGAAAATCCACTGCCACCGCCGGAATACCTCCAGCAGTGCGACCACGAATTTCATCAATTCCTTTCCACCCAAGTGTCCGATGAAGTGATAGTCTCCCAAATGAGCGGAGAGCTTATATGTCCATGTTCCGCGCAACACCAGATCGGACAAGATGACCCAGTAGTACGTCCATCTAACAGAATAGTACAGGTTGCGGCGAAGCAACGGACTTCTTCCAGAGATGCACCCGAACTCCCAATCTCTTGCGACATCCCAATAGAAAGAATAGGACGAATTGAAGATGCTACTCATGACCCAGGCAACCTCAAATATGTGCCAATAAGTAGGCGATGCATGGTACTTCATTGCAGACAGAAAAATGACGGGAAAGGAGGTTGCATACTTCAGAGCATTGAAAAGGCAGGACCTGTCCCCGGTGTCAGTGTACTGACGAATGCACTGAAAAAAACGGCAAGCGTATGGCAGAGCGAGAATGAAGAACGGTATCAATCTCGTCTGATCACTGCACAGCTGAACAGCATCCTCGTCAGGATTCACTTTGTCCCTTATAGCCGACGTCGTCATCCAGCAAAAAGCCCTATCCATTTCCGAGAAAACTCGTGCCATTGATGTCATAACATCAGCAATAAAGAAATCTGGAAAGCTGATTGCCTGGAACGGAAGACAAATGCGAATTAATGTCCTCAAGAAGAAATGTCTTGAGCTTAAATGAAAAGTGTCGATTGGAAATGCAAGTGCAAAAGGTATTGTTGCGTAAGATATCATTGTCTGCAGAGCAGCCAGATCTCCATAACCGATAAATAACAAATACATGCAGCAGGCTGCACACACCGCTAGAAGTGTCGACAGCCACCCGGCGATCTGCCAAATGTCTCCGTGTGTCAGGTGGCCGTGATCAAACTCAAAGATTTTGGAATAGCTCACTCTGGAGTTGGCAAACACATACAAGTTGATTCCCCATAGCCACAACACAATGACACTAACGACAAGAGGATTGTAATACACGAATGTCTTGTACAAGATAGCATGCCATATCTCTGGATCTGATGCCTGAAAGATCATGAATAGGAAGTAACCTGCACAGACCAGCAACATCCCCTGAATGCGCCAGTGCTTGGAGGAGGAGGTTTCAAAAGTAGAGACTCCATACTTTGGACGAGACACAGAATTCTTCAGATTCATGTCAGTCGGGGAGGAAGGAAGAGCCCCTTCCTCATCACTTCCCCCTGTTTCCGAATAACCATCCATCTTGGTCTTCGGAGGCCTTAGCTCTCTTAAGCTATGTTTCGTCATCTTCCCTCCTGTCTTCTGCCCCAGTCAATGGCCACGGACGACACTGTTTGACTTTCAGATGAGTCAATCTTTCATCTGCAGTAAATCAACTTTCTTCCCTGCTCTTCTTTCCTTCCGGATGGTGGGATCAATGCAGGTGTATATAACGGTGCTCTGTCCCATCGACTATATGTGCTTGCTCACATCACTTCTTCAACCCAGAAGTTCAGATCTCACCTGATGCTTCTATCTGGTGCCAGCTTGTGACTCAGCGCAGCAAGGTGGGATTGTGAGCAATGCCCACTGATCCCGACGACGGAGGATGCACAGACGACAGAGTGAATGACGTCACCTCACCTCACCAACATGCCACAGCAGTGCCTTTACATCTCCTTCCCGAGCCGCGACAGCAGCAGCAACTCTCCAGTGCCGCAATGCCATAGTCGGTTATAGGGACCCCCCTCAGTCAGAAAGACTACCTACACACATGGCAGCAGAGGCACACCACATGGGAAGTGCTGGCGCCCCTGCCTTACCACATCGTGTTAACCATCACCTGCCCTCCCCTCTCCTGACGACCTTGCCAAGCACTTAGAGAATTTCCTGCACATCCTGTTCAACGCGCATAAGCATTCACTGCTGTCCAATGAAGCATACAACGACGGGCCCCAGGCATGCGTGCTCATCGATCCGGCCCTGACAAGCTTCACTCCGCTGCGGGCTTGAACACCGAACAAACGAGCAAATTTCTCAGTGCGTCCCTTCAAGGTACTTGTGACAGGCAAAAAAATAAAAATAAAAACAAAAAAATCCTTGTGACATGGGGACTACCGTTTTCCCCCAACACAACGCACCCTGATCATGAACGCGTACAAGCTATCTTTCCGTCCCATACAGTCATGATGACTGTGTGTTGTACGCGAGGGCAGACAGGTATGTGAACAGATTCCTACTGAATCGCCGGTCGACCAATCCTTGCACACCATTAGATTGATTGACAGGATTTCATGTCGCAATCACTGTCCCATGTTCCGGTTGCAGCTGCCCCAAAGTCCCAGTCGAATGTACAACAGACAAACAGGCAGGCCCTGAGACCAAAACGCCCCATTCATGTCCCGTAGATCACCCTGTTCAGGTCCCGCAGGGCAGTCCGAATTCAGCAGACGTCTGGTGCGTACCAACGGGCCTAGCTCAGTTGTTACCCCCATGAACTGTTGAAATACAGACCTGCGTTCGAATCCAGATGCAGTCAGATTAACAAAATAACATTACTTCTGAATTACCTCGGGGCGCCAGTTCAATGATGATATCTCAAGGCCGTCTCCCTTTCAAAAAAAAAAAAAAAAAAAGAGTCTGGTTGGTGGGTAGGAACCACTATCCGACAGACGAAGTCTAGTCCCAGTCCAAAATTAGCAAAGCTGCATCTTTCGCGCGTCGTGTTAATTTTTCTTTCCTCCCTGAACATTTCCGCTCAAATTCAGAGATTTCCCAGCTCTCTTTTAAAGGTGCAGGAGTCTACTGAGCATTGCAGCATAGGCAGGCCAGCATTCAGGGAAGGCCCTGGAACTTGACGACTCTGCAACAATTACCAGTCCGGAGCAGACAAACGGCCTCTCTCCACAACTCTAAAAAATGCAATAAACATGCACAACGAACAAACTTTGGGAGTGCATTTTTCCATGTTCTAGCGGAAGATTCATTCTTTCTTTTTTTTTAACTTGGACCAATTATTGATTTGTGTGTGTCAGTCCAAATTTAGCAACAGCATCCAGGGAAGGCCCTGGAACCTGTGGACTCAGTGACAATTGTGGCCTACGGCCCGGGGGACCGTTGCCAGTCTGGAGCAGACAAAGGACCTCTCTCCACAACTCTCCACATGCAGAAGAGACAAACTCTGGCACTGTAATTTTCCATGTTCTAGCAGAAGATTCATTCTTTTTTTTTTTCAATTTGGACCATTGCTCGATTTGTGTGTGCCATCCTTGCACAGGGCCCATTCTACTAATCTTCTCTGTATCGCTCCAGTTTTAACGGATGTCCCAAAGGACTCAAGATTCATTCTCATTTTGGTGAGTAGTGGAGATTGGCCCAAGGGTTGCCAATTGCAGCAACTACAAACAGCTGCTACAGTGCCTGGACGACACGCTTGTTTTCCCCTTTTTTTCATTTAAAAAAAGAAAAATCAGCTATACTTTATCCAAAGACAAAATGAGGCCGCGGACCTCACAATTCTACCTGGATGGCACTCAGAGCATTACTCAGGTTCGCGTGGTGATTCTGCTATGGTGACCTGCTTGGAAACCGGGTCCAGTGTCCCATTTTGGCTGGTTCCACACCAAATAGACAACACACTTGTTCATTGGCATGCTGAAGAAGTGCTGCTGTATGCTTGCACGATGTTCCAGAGTGAGACTCATCGGGCAATTCGGAGGAGTTACCAGGCAATGTGCGCCATAGCTGCCGTCTCCCCCCCACCACAACGCACCCTCATTATGGCTGTGCCGGACCGGAAAGATAGCTTGTATAGATTCATTATCAGGGAGCGTTATGTTCGAGGAAAGACGGTAGGATAGAGTGTCAAAAACGGGCGACTTAGTAGTAGGGAGAGAGTGTGCTAGGGAGAGAGAGAGAGAGAGAAAGGCAGTCATACAAGTTCAGAGTGAAGAGAGAAGAGGGAGAGAGAGAGGAAGAGAGGGAGAGCAAGCTTACCTGAGTGTTGGGCTTCAGCGGCCATAGCTGTCTGTACTTGATGTTCGGATTATTGCAAAAATTTTGCAAATTGGAATAATAATTTCAAGTTTCTGCAAATATCTCTCTCATTGCTCTGCTGTGGTCGTGTCGACTTTGACGCGGGAGTGTGAACTCTTAAAGTGAAACGCAGTCTCGTGTGACGCTCCCATGTGAGACCTGCCGGCCACTGTTGGGTAAAAACGGGCTGGGCCCAAGGACGGGCCCAACCCAAAGGCTGCACCAGTCACGAACGTGGGTCTCGTATGATGCTCCCATGCAAGACCCACCGGCCAGTGTTAAGAAAAAAAGTGCTGGGGCGGGCCCAACCCAAAGTATGCACCGGTCGTGAAGGGCGAACCTTCTGGAAGGGTCGGTGAGCGGGCCCGGCAGTCACACGCACCCACCAACACGCATATGTGGGTTGGTCCCTACGGTCGGGAAAAAAAAGGAAACGGCACTGTGCGGAGCGAAAAAGCATTGGGGAGGGGAAAAAGAGAAATGGCGCCGGGCGCAGTGTGGGGAGGCAGAGCAAGGGGAGAAAGGATCAGACCGGTCGGGAAAAGCTCCCGTTACGTAGGGGCGAGGCACTGTCGGCACGCCCGTGTTCGCTATCGAGGAGGTCGCGATGAAGGAGGATACACGAGGGGGATGGAGGAGGTGGTCCACGGCGATGGATTGAAGAGGATGGAGGCGGAGCAGGGAGCAGGACGAGGATAATGGATGGAGAAGAGAAGATGGAGCAAGGACAAGCAGAGAGGATGGACTGAGGAGGACACGGGAGGAGGGCGGAGGATGCATTGAGGAGGACAAGGGAGGAGGATAGGGCAATCAAAGAGGAGGGAGCATACAGAGGAGGAGGAGGGAGGAGACTATGGGCGGAGGAGGGAGGAGGGAGGACGAAGGAGGAGGAGGGAGGAGGGAGGAGGACAATGGCGATGAAGGGAGGAGGAAATGCAATACGGAAGGCGTCACTCACGTTTTTTTTCGTCGGGATTCATTGATTGATTCATGTCACAGTCCTTGCACTTCATACGCATTCTCTCTCTCTCTCTCTCTCTCTCTCTCTCTCTCTCTATCTATCTATCTATCTATCTATCTATCTATCTATCTATCTATCTATCTTGCTGTCAAGCTCTCGCGGGGGTGGATGCACTTCGAACCCCTGGCGCCTCCCCTCTCTCTCACCGTGTGGATACATTTGTACCCGTCCTGACCCTCCATCCAACCTTCATGCAGCCGTCCTTCCGACCCGCCCACCAGTGATCCCAACTGTCCGCTCCATCCATTCTATGCCGACTACTGACCCACCTATCCTTTCTCCTCTCTCTCTCTCTCTCTCTCTCCTGCTGTCGAGCTCTCGTGGGGGTGGATGCACTTTGACCCCCCGGTGCCTCCCCTCTCTCTCTCACCGTGTGGATACATTTGTACTCGTCCTGACCCTCCATCCAACCTTCATGCAGCCGTCCTTCCGACCCGCCCACCAGTGATCCCAACTGTCCACTCCATCCATTCTATGCCGACTACTGACCCACCTATCCTTTCCTCTCTCTCTCTCTCTCTCTCTCTCTCTCTCTCTCTCTCTCTCTCTCTCTCATCATCTGCTGACGATGACCCTCCATTCGCGCGCATCCCCACCCATGCTGACCCCCAATCCCGCTACCCACATGATCTCTTCTAGCTCGATCGTCCTGGCACCAGTCCACACACACATGCACACACGCCGAATGTTCAACCTCCTGATGAGTTGATGAAAGTTCGACAAAGTTTGCACAGCCTCGGCTCTCTCTCTCTCTCTCTCTCTCTCTTTCCCCCCCCCCAACAACAGAACAGAGAGGAAAAGAATGAGATCCTGTTTTGGCCTCCTGTCTGCAAACCCCCACTCTGCACTGCGAGTGTATCCACGGTGTGTCCACTTGTTCCCTTGATCGGCGACGGCCTTGAAATGTCACCATTCAGCTGACTGGCACCGGTTCATTCAGAATTGTTTCTTCCTGTCCATCTGGTCGCATCTGGATTGGAACTTGTGTCTGTATTTAAACAGTTCACGGGTGTATCCAGTGAGCTAGGCGCCAAGTAATTCAGAATGGTTTTCTCCTGTCCATCTGGTCGCATCTGGATTCGAACTTCGGTCTGTATTTCAACAGTTCATGGGTGTACAAGTGAGCTAGGGCTCAGGTAATTCAAATATGTTTCTTCTGTCCATTTGGTCGCATGTCGATTCGAACCAGCTCATGGGTGTAATTAGTGAGCTAGGCCCCTCGGTGGAGTGTGAACTTTGAGAGCATAAGTAGATCCTAAGTGGGAGTCAATCCGAGTCAGGTCACTGAACGAACATCCATAGCCCCCGCCCCCCAGGGGGAAAAAAAAACGAAACCAAAAAAAAAAGAGGGGAAAAAAGGGGAGAAGAAAAATCAACGGACAACTCAGAAGAGGAAAATAAATGCGGAAAAAGAAAGGACGAGCTTGTTCCTCGCGTTTTTTTTTTTCCCCTCCCTCTTCTCCTTTTTTCAAGGCCACAAAGGGCCATTTGTTATTGAAAGGGCCCAGTGCCCACGGCAATCACAAAAAGGACAAGGGGCGTGACGTTCCCTTTTCTTGTTCTGAATAATATACAGATTGTATCATTGGGCTCTCTCTCTTGACTTGTGCGTGTCACCTTTCAGCAGGCTCCATTCTAAGTAAGCTTTGATTTTCCCAATTGTTCCAACCAATTTGAATGGGTCCCGAATCTCCCGATGTCCAAGCGTTTGGCATCCTTTTTTTTTGGGGGGGGGAGAGGAGGGAGGGGGAGGCGGGGGGTCAGAGACCCTAACTCTTGATTGTATCTTCTCAAAAAAGAAAAACGAAATCCTCGAAAATAAAATCCAGAAAAATACTTTATTTTGTCCATCAATTCAGCAGTAGATGAAAGGATAGGGAATGATTGGTGGTTAACTTTGTGGCTTGTTCGCCTTTTTTTTTTTCTTTTCTTTTTTCTTGGCTGGTTCTGCT